CCCTCCCTCCCTCCCTCCCTCCCTCCCTCCCTCCCTCCCTCCCTCCCTCCCTCCCTCCCCCCTCTCTTCCTCTCCTCTTTCTTTCATTCATTCATTCACCAATTCATTCATTTATTTTAATTTATTCTTTCATTCGGTCTGCTAATCATTAAACCATTGATTAGTGGCTGTATTAAAGGAGAGAATCAGCCTTTCATTGAGTAATTTAGTTCCATCTTAGCTAGCAGTATACGTGGCATTAAAAACTGAAAAAAAAGGAAATAGAGAAAGAAAGAAAGAGAGAAAATGTGGGTTACTTTTAACATGCTGAAAATGTAGGATGAAGTGGTAAGAATTAAGAATTAGCTTCAGGCTTTCTTTCAGATTTTCTTCTTGACTTTTCTTCAGATTTTCCTTGTGATCTTCTTTCAGATTTTCCTCTTGGCTTTTCTTCATTCAGATTTTCCTTCTGATCTTCTTTCAGATTTTCTTCTTGACTTTTCTTCGGACTTTCCTTCTGATCTTCTTACAGATTTTCTTGCTGATTCTCCTTTTGTCTTTCCTTCTAATCTTTCAGATTTTCTTCCAGACTTTCCTTTGGTCTTTTCTTCTGATCTTTCAAATTTTCTCCCAGACTTTCCTTGAGACTCTCCTTCAGACCTTTTCTCAGTTCTTCCTTCAGATCCTCCTTCGAAGCTTTCTTCAGACTCTCCCTCTCATCTTTCAGACTTTCAGATCTTTCTTCAGACTTTCCTCCAGACGTTCATTCAGTCCTTCCTTCAGATATTCCCCGTGACTTCCCTTCAGACTTTCCTTCAAACGTCGCTTCAGAATTTCCTTTAGACTTTCCTTCACATCCTTCTGACTTTCCTTCAGAGCCCGAGCGTTAGGGAGAACGAGATAAGAATTACGAATTACTAATAGAGATGCAAAATGGATAAGATATAAAAAACAAAAACAAAAAAAAAAAGACCACACTTCCGCGCGCCAAACCTTCGTGAAAGTGAACTGCATGTCAGCTCAGCGGCGCTTTACGGGGCACGGGAGGTCCTTCTGTTGACATGAGGGAGGGAGTGGCGGTGGGTAGCATGTCTTATCTCGTTTGCAATGATGCTCCTGATTAAGTACAAGCGCTGGGGGGAGAGGGTGAGAAGGGAGGAGGGAGAGGGGAGATGGGGGTAGAGAGAGGGCGAAGGGGGGAGAGAGGGAGAAGGGGGAGAGAGAGGGAGGGAAAAAGGGAGAGTGGAGGGAGAGGGGAGAAGGGAGGTGGGTGGGGAGAGGGGGAGTGAAAAGGGAGGAGTGTAGGAGAGTGCTCCTGATTAAGTACAAGCGCTGGGGGGAGGGGGGGGGGAGGGAAGGAGGGAGGAGGGAGAGGGGAGAGGGGAGAAGGGGGGAGAGAGGAAAGAGGAGGGTGAGGGGAGATGGGGGTAGAGGGAGGGTGAAGGGGGAAGGTGAGCAGATGAAGAGGGAGAAAGGAGGAGGGTGGAGAGAGAGGGAGGGAGAGTGGAGGGAAAGGGGAGAAGGGAGGAGGGTGGGGAGAGGGGGAGGGAGAAAGGGAGAGTGGAGGGAAAGGGGAGAAGGGAGGAGGGTGGGGAGAGGGGGAGGGAGAAAGGGAGGAGGGTGGGAGAGGGGAGAAGGGAGGAGGGTGGGGAGAGGGGGAGATGGGGAAGGAGAAAAGAAAAAGAAAAGAAAAAAAGAAGAAAAAAAATGTATATATATATATATATATATATATATATATATATATATATATATATATATATATATATATATATATATATATATATATACATACACACACACACATTTTTTATAAACATTTCCAATCTATGTGAAGACCACGCATGACGACGAAGTGCTGTGATGTCATAGATGTCATAAATCGACATAAAAAAAAAAAAAAAAACTTAATGGGGCTTGTAGTAACCGTGATAACCGTTATTTATATTTAACATTAGCATTATTTTTTGCCTTTGGCTGCATACCAAAGGGAGAGTTAATAGGGATAATTTTAGATTATTTATTTTAGTAGAGCCTAATGATGCGAGTGATAATGATGGTGGTGAAGGTGAGGATGATGGTGATGATGATGATTGTATGTGTAAATATTGTAAACAGAAAAAGATACACAGATAAACACGTATATATACCGACAGAGATGTAGATAGGTAGATACACTACATAAATAAATAGACAGACAAAGAGGTATACACGCATAAATACAAACACAAATACAATAACGGAAAGAGAACCAGCAACAGAAACAAAAACAAACACAAACACAAATACCAACACACACACACACACACAAACACACGCACACGCACACGCACACGCACACGCACACGCACACGCACACGCACACGCACACGCACACGCACACGCACACACACACACACACACACACACACACACACACACACACACACACACACACACACACACACACACACACACACACACACACACACACACACCCTCCACCAAAATCTAATCAGCTATTTCTCTCGGCTGTCTGTAT